GTGCCCTCCCTGCATGCATGAGGTCCTAGATTCAATCCCCAGTACTTCCTCTAAGAATAAATAAATAACTAAACCTAGTTACCTCCCCCTACAAAAAAAAACTACTCTTAAAAAAAATCTTTTTAAAAAAATAGTGGACAAAAGCTTTGAACAGATTCTTCACAGAAGAAGATATGTGGATGGTCATATTACCACACGAAAGGATGCTCAACATTATCAGCCATCAGGGAAATACCCCAATTAAAGCAGAGATGCCACTGCACACTCAGCAATATGTCGAACTTTTTTTGTTTGTTTGTGTTGTCTTATTTTTGTTTGGAGGGGGGAGGTAATTAGGTTTATTTATTTATTTATTCTTAGAGGAAGTACTGGGGATTGAATCTAGGCCTAATTACCTCCCCTCCAAACAAAATAAGACAACACAAACAAACAAAAAGTTCGACATATTGCTGAGTGTGCAGTGGCATCTCTGCTTTAATTGGGGTATTTCCCTGATGGCTGATAATGTTGAGCATCCTTTCGTGTGGTAATATGACCATCCACATATCTTCTTCTGTGAAGAATCTGTTCAAAGCTTTTGTCCACTATTTTTTTAAAAAGATTTTTTTTAAGAGTAGTTTTTTTTTGTAGGGGGAGGTAACTAGGTTTAGTTATTTATTTATTCTTAGAGGAAGTACTGGGGATTGAATCTAGGACCTCATGCATGCAGGGAGGGCACAGCTCAGTGGTAGAGCACCTGCTTAGCATGCACGAGGTCTTGGGTCCAGTCCCTAGTCCCTCTACTAAAAAAACAAACAAACAAAACAAAAACAGGACCTCATGGTAGCATGAGTGCTTAGCATGTACTCTACCATTTGAGCTATACCCTCCCCGCTAAGAGCAGTTTTAATTTCACAGCAAAATTGAGAGGAAAGTACAGAGATTTCCCGTGTGTCCCCTGCCCCCACCCATGCATAGCCTCCCCTGTTATCAACAACCCCCACCAGAGTAGGGACATTACAATCCATGACCCTACATTGACATGTCATTATTACCCGAAGTCCATGGTTTACATCAGGGTTCACTCCTGTTGTTGTATGTTCTGTGGTTTTGGACAAAAGTACAATGACGTGTATCCACATTATAGTATCACAATGAGTATTTTCCGTGCCCTAAAAATCCTCTCTGTTCTCTGGGTCTGCTGTTTCCTGATTCGCTCCCCAACCCCAACCTTTGGGACCACTGAACTTTTTACTGTCCCTACAATTTTGCTTTCTCTGGAACATCATATAGTTGGAATCACACAGTATGTCCCCTTTTCAGACTGGCTTCTTTTACTTAGTAATATGCACTTACATTTCTTCCATGTGTTTTCATCACTTAATAGTTCATTTCTTTTTACACTGAGTAAAATTCCATTGTCTGGATATACCAAAGTTTATTCACCTACTGAAGGACATCTTGGTGGTTTTGGCAATTATGAATAAATATGCTATGCGTTTTGTGAGGACATACATTTTCACCTCCTTTGGATAAATACCAAGGAGCATGATTACTGGGTCATAGGGTAAGAGTGCATTTAGTTTTGTAGGAAACTGCTGAACTGTCTTCCAAAGTGGCTGCACTATTTTGCATTCCCACGAGCAATCATGAGAGTTCCTGTTTCTCCACATCCTCACCAGCATTTGATGTTGTCAGTGTTTTGGATTTTGGCCATTCTAACAGGTGTGTAGTTGTATCTCATTGTTTTAACTTGCATTTCCCTGATGACATACAATGTGGAGCATCTTTTCGTATGCTTATTTGCCATCTGTGTATCTTCTCTGATGTGAGTCTGTTAAAAATCTTTGGCCCGTTTTAAAAATCAAGTTGTCTGTTTTCTTATTGTTGAGTTTTAAGAGTTCTTTGTATATTTTGGATAACAATCTTTGATCAGATTCATATTTTGCAAATTGTTTTCTCCCAGTCTGTGTCTTGTCTTCTCTTTCTCTTGACTGTGTCTTCCACAGAGCAGACGTTTTTGATTTTAAAGAAGTTCAACTTATCAGTTCTTTCTTTCCTGGATCTTGCCCTTGGTGTTAAATCTAAAAAGTCATCACCAGATCTATAGCCATCTAGTTTGTCTCCTAGTGTCTACCATTTTTCATTGGGTCCTTTGTCTTTTTTTTTGAGTCATAGGCATTTTTTATACATTCTGGAGGCCAGTACTATGTCAGATATATGTATTTCAAGTGTTTTCTGACAATCTGTATGTTTTATGTTCTTAACAGTGTCTTGGAAAGAGCAGAAATTTGTAATTTGATAAAGCCCACTTAGTTGTTTTGATTTTTTATGCATTTTGTGTCCTAAGACAGCTTTACCTGTCCCAACACTGCAGAGATTTCCTTCCAGACATTCCAGATGCTTTTACATTTATGTGGATGATCAGTTTGTGTTAATTGTGAGTGTGGGAGATAAGAGTGGAGTTTTGTTTGCTTATTTTTAATGGAGGTCCAGTTGTCTGGTACCACTTGTCAAAGAGCCCATCTTTTTCCCATTGAGTTACCTTGACTTCTAGGTCAAAAAAAATTGACCATTGTTGTAGCATAAAGAACTTGCCTTGCAGGCAGCAGGGAATCCCTGAAGGTTGGGGAAAACCAAGCACCCAGAGAGGGACAAGGACACTGGGGGCTGAGCCCCTCCCCATGGCCCTGGAAGTGGAGTGACGTTCCAGGGGCAGACGCCACCTTTGTGTCCACTTGGCCTTATCTGGCTCGTGTTGGCCCACAGGAAGACTGAGAGCCAAGGGCAGGGTGGACACAGAGAGTAGGAAGGTGGTACAGCCAGTACCCTGGGGGGGTCCCTCACAGCCTGGCCTTGGCTTTGGTGGGATCCAGGGAGGGATGGGGGGGGATGGGACCTAGTCACCAAAAAGGGGAAGGAAGCATCGTCCCCCACATTGTCCACTGCCCACCATTAGAGTCAGGCCTGGTAGTCCATTTCCTGCTCCAGGACACTTGGTGACAATGAGGTAAGACTGGGTAGCATTTACTGAGCACCAACTGTAGGTAGGCACTTTGACTTGTCCCTAATCTCATTAAATCTTCATGCAAGTCTATGGGAAAGGGATTCCTCCATCTTGAAATTGTGCAGCTGAGGCTCAGACTTTTAAGAGACTCAGCCCAGATCGCCCTCTCTGAACTGTGTCTCACCTGGTGAGGGAGAGCTGGCCGTGACCGCTAGCTCTTCACCAAAACTTAGCCCTGCCTTTGCAGCTTGGTGGTCTCCTGGCAGACACCCCTTTTAAACTCCAGTACCTTCGAGTACAGCTGGATGGGTGGGGCTGGGGGGTCGCCAGCAGGGTTGATCTTCTGCTGTGACTGGGCGTGGGTGAGGAGGGGTTGTCTTTGCTGCAACCTTTACCACGTTCAGTGAACAAGGGACCCGGGACTGGTGGGGAGGGACAGCGGGAGCTGGGTTCTTGCTGGGAGCAATGGACCAGGGAGGGATGCTGAGGGACATGAGGCTGGTGGAGGGGCCGTGGGAGCCGGCGGGAGGGTGGACCACCCAGGGACCGATGGCCAGGTCTGGGTTGGGAGAGGCAGTAAGAGGGCAGCAGTAGCCCTGCATCAGGGGGCCGGCAGCCCGCCCACCACCAGTAGCGTGGGTGACCCGGGTCCTGCCTGTGGAGATACTCCACCAGGGCGCCCACTGCTAGCTTTCGTGTGGGCTGATTTCTCCTCGTCTGGGGGGCGTTTCCCTCCACCCTGAGGGCTTCTTCCCTGTAACGGAAAGGCAGCTGAAGGGGCCGGCAGAGCCCCAGGCTCCTCCCACCTGCAGCTCCCCCTCCTTTGCCTGTGTTTTTCCAGCTCAGCGTTGCCTGGCAGCTGCTGCACATCTTGGGGTCATGTCCAAGTTCCAGTCGGGGGCAGGAGGAAGGGTTCCATTGTTACGGAAACGACAGACCAGCCCAAGAAACAAGCACCACTCAGAGGGCTGGAGTACTCAGATTTACTACACCGGTGGGCTCAGAGGGGCTTCTGCTCCGAAGCTCTGAGCACCTCCAAGATGTGTGCATGAGGTTTTATAGGGTTAATTACAAGCTTGGGGTATTCGGCCAATAGGCATGGAACAGCTTTAGCAGCATCATTATCACAAAAGCAGAGGCAGGGAGGCCGCAAACCGACATTCCAAGGCCAGATATGTCTCTCTGAAAATCCAGCTGGCTAGCCAAAAAAAAAAAGAGCAGGGAATTAGCATACCAACACTTAAATTAACTTAGATTTACGAGTTAGCCCAGCAGAACTCAGATCAGTAATCCGACACCTGTTACATTTAGATTTATGAGTAGGCCCAGCCTGGCTTTTCCTTCACACCATCTGCAAAACAGCTGCTTCCCTATAAACCGCCCCCTCGCCATGGGCCATAGCTGCCTCAGGTGGGCACGCCTGCTTGCCAGTGGCCCTGGGGCCATGAATGCTCTAAGCAAACAGACCTGGGATTGTGTCAGTGGGGGGATGGGGAGAGGACTTTGGGCCGCCTGGTGCTGCGGTTCCGCAGGTAATTATACAGCCTCTCGTAATGCCAGGTGTGTTGCTATTCTATTGCTTCCAGAATAAATTACCACAAATTTAGCAGCTTAAAACAGCACACATTTATTATCTCACAGTTTCTGTGGGTCACAAACCGAATGCGAAACCATCCGTCTTCTGCTTCAGGTCTCACGGCCAAAGTCAGGGCGTCTCCAAGTCAACTTGGGGGGCACCCACCTCGGAGTTCGTTCAGATTGTTGGCAGAATTCAATTCCTCCGGGCTGTCCAACGGAGGCCCTTTCCTCTCCAAAGCCAGTAGCAGCACATCTGAGCCCTCTGCTCCGAGGATCTCTGACTGCCTCTTCAGCCGCATCTCTGACTTGAGCTGGAGAAAATTCTCTGCTTTTAAGGGGGCATGTGATTACGCTGGACCCACCTGGATAATCCATGAGCATCTCCCTACATTAAGGTCTGTAACCCTAATTACATCTGTGAAGTGCCTTTTACCACGTAACGGAGCGTATTCACAGGTTCCAGGGATTGGGGCCAGGGCATCTTTGGAGGCCCTCTGCCTGTCACCCAGTAATGGGTCAGAAGGTAGGCACACAGCAGTAGCCAAAAAGACACAGTCCCCTCCCCGCTCCGTGGGGCCCAAAAATGAAGTAATAAGTCGCAAATAGAAGTGTGGCGATGGCCTTGAAGGAGAGGACAGGTGCCGGGCTCATGACAGGGCCTGACCAGGCCAGGGGCTCTGGGGCTCACCTAATGACCTGAGCCCAAGGCAGATGAGGGAACGTGCAGGCCAACAGCGTTTCAGGGCCAACGTCCAAGCCAGGAGAGGGGAGCCCAGCACCAAAGGGCAGCACACAAGATTCAGAGAACCAGGGAGCGTGGTGCAAGATGTGGGGCGGGGACCGGGTCACCCCAGGCATCGTGATAGTACTACCTCTAGCATCAGAGGGGACTCTCACTAGTAATTAGGCCACTTGGTTCTCACTATACCCCTCTGTAAAGTGGATGCTGCTGTCACCCTCAAATTACAGGTGGGAAAACTGAGGCTCGGAGAGGTTAGCCAAGAATCCAAAGCTAGTAAGAGGGGGCACTGGGAACCTAGCACCTCCTCAGAAGCCCTTCTAGAAAAATGGCACTGACTGCTGCTAGGAAGGGCTAGGGTAAACAGAGGTTGTCCTGACCAGGGAAGGTTCCCCTGGGCCACAGTAACAAACTGAAGACCTCAGCGGCTCGCTACCTATGAGGCATTGCAGATATTTCTGGCGAGGCTCCACCGTGTCACCCACTTCCACTATTAGAAAACGGTGAACAGAGAATCTTCTGCCTGGAGTCACTCGTGTCACTTCTGTTTACATTTCATTGGGCAAAGTGGGTCACATGGCCAGATCTGGTGCCCCAGGACTAGGGAAACAGACTCTTCCCCCCAGAGCAGACCAGGCTAGGCCAAAGGTGCTGCCAGCTAACTTAGACTAAAGTTGGGGTGGGGGACAGAGAGAAGTAAGAATAAAGGACCACGGAGGGAGGCACATTTCACTGGCAGGCAATCAGGGGTGGGAGAAAAGTCATGCCCTTGGATTTGGACATAGGGAGAAATGCTGACTTGGCTGCTGGGGCTTGGAGGAGTGCCCTGAGCTGGAAACATGCGTGGAGTGTTCCAGTGGGAACGGAGCTGTGGGCACAGGAAGACTGTTGGGGTGTGAGACTGAGGAGGGAAGTGACCTGGGCCCAGCGTGAGGGACCTCCGCTTACAGAGTACTTGCATAGCCGGGCTATGGGACCTCCTACCTGGAGGCTGGCTGGTCCCACAGGCACAGTGACCTTACTCTGTCAAATGGCCATCATCCAGGCCAGCCTGTGCTGTGCCTTATTAACCAGACCGCACCTGCCAGAGACCAAGGACAGGCCCTTCCTGGAGAGCTCTCAGACTTGGCCAAACCAGCATGTTCCCTTGAGAGAGATCCCACCCCCAGTGCAGCCCCCTAACCAGGGGTCTCCTTAAAGCAGAATCAGGTGGCCCTTCTGCCCAGGGAGGGCGGGGCCTGCAGAGTTACTCCTGGCCCTCAGCATGGCCAGGACCCCAACCCAGCTGCTGCCGTGCCTTCTTCCTGCTGTGTCTTGGCTAATTTCACTCACCCATGCATTCATTCAGCCAGTACTTACTCCATGCCTTGTATGCGTGGCACCTTGGGTTCTCCCTTGATGGAAGAAACAGAGAATTTACCAGGCCTCAGTAAGAGGGCACCCCCAGAGGACCTGACCAGGGTGGGGCTTCCCTGAGGAGCTGGAGTCTCCCAGGCCTGCAGAGGGGTTGCCCAAGGAACCAGAGGTTTGGGGTGGGCTCTGAGATGGAGATGGCGACTGCCTTGGGCCCCTGGAGCTCTGTCTGGGGGTCACCTCCTATTCCCTGCCCCTCTCCTGGGGACCTCCCAGCATCCTCACCCACCCTGAAGAGCAAGGGTGCAGGCTCAGTGGCCAGGGGCCATCTGTCCCGCTAACCGCTGTATCCCTACTCCCGGCACACAGTCGTCGCTGAGTAAATATCTGTGACTAAATGAAAGGACTGACAAGTGAGGGACGAGCCGATTTCTGGCCGCCGCTTGGAGAAGGGATTTGAGGGGTGCACTCGCAGGAGCACCCCGGGCTGGAGACAGTGCATCAGCGATAACGGAGCCCTGGACACACAAACACTGTGGAGACGCTAAAGTGAGGAGGCAAATGACACTTTCAGGGCGCACCCCTACGTAGGAGTTCGGAGTCCCGCTTTGTTGGGGGGGGGTCTCCCTCTGGCGCGGTGACGTCACCAGTCGGGAGGAAGCCGCTGCCTCGCGGGCGGGGCCTCAGCCGGTGGTGGCGTCACGGGAGGCGGGGCCACAGCCGCACTGGGCGGGGCACTGGGCGGTGGTCACGTAGCTCAGGTTCTTCCGCCGCATTCGCGCGCGAGTTGGTCGGTTCCTGTGTTCCGGATCCCGCGGTTCCTCGCCATCATGCCGATGTTCGTGGTGAACACCAACGTGCCCCGCGCCTCTGTGCCGGACGGACTCCTCTCCGAGCTCACCCAGCAGCTGGCACAGGCCACGGGCAAGCCGGCGCAGGTTTGACGGAGGGGCAGGGCGAGGTGGTACCGGGCTGGGGGAGGGGGACTGCGAATCCGGGATGAGGCTCCGGGCGGGGAAGGGACGGGGGCCGCCCGGGTCGGCGAGGTCGCTCGGGCGGGCTGAGCGCGCCCCCTCCCCCGCAGTACATCGCAGTGCACGTGGTCCCGGACCAGCTCATGGCCTTCGGGGGCTCCAGCGAGCCGTGCGCGCTCTGCAGCCTGCACAGCATAGGCAAGATCGGCGGCGCGCAGAACCGCTCCTACAGCAAGCTGCTGTGTGGCCTGCTGGCCGAACGCCTGCGCATCAGCCCGGACAGGTGCGTGGGTGCCCGGGGGCTGGAGGCGCGCGGCCACGGTGGCCATCGCGCAGCCCGTTCAGCCCCCTTCCTCCCTCGCAGAATCTACATCAACTACTACGACATGAACGCGGCCAACGTGGGCTGGAACGGCTCCACCTTCGCCTGAGGGCCGCGCCCCAGATCCCGGTCTCTGCGTGGTTTTCTGCTCACCCCGCCCCCAGCAATTCCACTTCCCAGAAGGGAGAAATAAACGATGTGGAGACTACGGCTGCCTCGGGCTCCCTTGGCTTTCAGAGGAATCGGTGCAGGGTCGGGACAGTCACTAGGAGACCGAGAGGGGTCCGCCCCACCCCAGAATCTGCTGAGAGGGCGCCTTTCGCCTCGCCTTTCTCGCCCCTAGCAGAAGGCCCAAGGCGCAGGTGGCAGCAAAGGCCGCAGACCCAGGAATCAAACTCGAATCAGTACTCGGGAATCTGTCCTCCTGTCTGTTTCCTCCCTCCCCACTCTCCCAGAGGCAGGGCCACCACGTGGGCTAGGGCTGGCAGGGAAAAGGGGGAGGTATGGATCAGTGTGCGGACAGGAGAGAAAGCCCTCCCCTCTCCACCCCAGGGTCACTCTCTGCTAGGCTGGTGCATCAGTGCCTTGCCTTGGAAAATCCTGTTGTTCTGGAACTTTATGACAGTTTAGGGGGAGAGGGGGTAGTTGCTCAGGAGGCGGAGGTCTTGGTTATTTTGCCCTGTTCACCCCAGTTCCATGTTTGGGCCCAGGCCCCTTCAGACACAGCAGTTCCCTGAGGGAGCACCCTGTGGTTTGGGTGTCCTTCAGGTGTGTGGTACAGGAGCTCTAAATGCCTTCAGGTAGCTAGTTAACCCCACTAGGACAGTGATGGTCCTGATGCCCAGGGTACCATCAAGAACTAAATCAGTGTCAAGGTCCAGTGTGACTGTGCTCTGTGGCCCAGGACCCCTTCCCCAAATGCAGGGGCTAGCTTCCTTGTACGGGCAGTGATGGGACAGTGGGCAGTCCTCCAGCCGCAAAGTGCTGCTTGGCTGGGTCAGTTGCCTTTGGGCTGGAGTGTCCCACCACCCTGCAGTGTGAGAGCCTCCCTGTCCCCATGCAGTGGCCCCCACCAAGTGATGCTCAGCCCCTAGTGCTGGGAATTCATGTGCCTGGAGCCAGCACTCCTTGGCCAGAACCAGCACCTGTGTCTTGGCTAAAGTGAGGGGCCAGCTCCACCCTTCCTGCCCTGTGGGAGAAGTCAAGTTCATTTCAGCTGCTTGCCCAGACAAGGGGCTCCTCTGGCCATGTGAACCCCATTCCTGGGGGCATCACCTCTGGACTCCTGCTGGCCCCACACCACTGAGACCCCTTGTTCTTCCACAGCCCCTAAGGTAGACAAGAACATCCTAGATGGAGGTGATTTTTTAAATTCCAGATTTGTGTGAATTTGTCTTTGGAAGCTGAGGGGCTCTGGGAAAAAGGGTTACTGTCTGGGCCAGGCCTCGAGCACTTCCCTTCTGTGGCCACCAGCTCCTTCCTTGGGAAGGCTGCCAGCTGCCCGGCCCTTGCACCCGCTGTGGCATGGGTGTGAACTCCCTGCAGGCAGGCCAGGAAGCTTCAGGTACCCACCTCGGGCTTGTGGCAGGGGACAAGTCACACTTGCCCTCTGACTGTGGCAACAGAACAGCCCAGGGCTGCGTAGCCCAGCCTGTGGGCACTTTGCACGTAGGTCTACCCCACCCCCTTCCATCTCTGGGGCCGCCTGCCAGTGCCACCTTGCTAAGAGGGATGTCTGAGGCCTGTTCTCTTTCAGTCTAGGTCTGGGGGGCACTCTCCTCCCGCAGCCCCCAGTCAACTCCCTGGGCAGTGAGTATTTACTTTCAGAAGACCTGTGGGGATGGTCATGACCTTAGAAAGATGGAGAATCAGCTCAAGGGAGTCTGGAAGCAGTGGCCCACCTTTGAGGGAAGACACTCCTCTTCCACAGAGGTCTATGTGGGCTTTCCTCCAGCTTACCTCAGTCTCATTCTGTCCTCAGTGAAAGGACTGGAGCCTCATGTCCATCTCTGCTGGGGGAGGGGGTGGCATGACCCTAGCTGCAGCCTTGCTGTGGGCTGGGGCCTCCTTGGGTACAAGCACATTGGCCCTGGCCTTTGTCACATCCCCTTGGCTCCCCGGCACACTCTGGTTCCCAGCTCAGCCTCTCCCTGCTCTGGAGCCTGCACCATCTGTGGTCATGAGAGCTGAAGTGTAGTCTCCTTGAACGTCTTGTCCAGCTCCCTCATTTCCCAGGTGAGGACACTGTCCTGGGCCTCTGGCTGTGCTGGCACCAGGCCAGCCATCTCCCAGCATCCAGCCTCACCATCTGCCCCCACTGGCCCCAACTCACCTTTTGGCCTCACATAAGAGTCTCCCCAACTGGAGGGGCCCCTGAGGGCTGAGGAGGCAGGAAGGGCAGGCTGGGGGCCTGCTCTGTCGGGGAGGACGGAGGTGCTCAGGAGAGCCGAGCATGGCACTCTGCCTCCCAAGAATCTGGAAGTGCCCGAGGCCCTGTGGCCAGCTGGGATATTGCCAAGGCAGTAGCTCCTTGGAATCCAAGGGCAGAGGGGGCATCTGTGGGTTAGGGACACATGTTCTAGGTCCTGCCCACCATGCTCCCAAGTCCCCTGGAGCTGATAAGTGCTCTGCACACCAAGGACGGCAGCAGCTGCACCCCACTCTCAGCCAGCTCCTAGTCAGCTCCATTTCCTCCAGAGCATGGGCTGCACTGTCCGCCAAGCCGCCTGTCCCTTCCTCCAACCCCCAGTGGCTCCCCCAAGGCCCACAGGGATGTGGTCAGCCTTGGAAATAGCAGTAGAAACATTTCCAAATAACACCTCAAATGAACGGAGGTGAGGGACAGATGGAAGCCAGGGCCCAGACTGCCACCTGCTCTGCCATCACTCCAGCGGTCATCTGCCAACCAAGACCTCTGGCCTACAGGATGACCTGCTGTCTTCAGCCCCACTTTGCACAAGCCCTGCTGCCTCTCACCTCCCTTGCCGGTGCTGTTCCTTCTGCATTGAATGCCTGCCCCAACCTGCCCACTGTAGCCCCATGCTGCAAACTTCTTGGATGCCTTCCCTGTGGCCACCGGTGTGGCAGGGCACTAAGGCCCGCCTCTGCTTCAGCCAAGGCCCTGCGAGCTTCTCTTGGGTCCTGTGTCCCTCAGCAGCCTCTGATCACCCAGCTCTGTGATCTTTGGGCTGGTGGCCCCCGGGCCACTCAGAGCTGTCCATTCTAGAGAGCCCAGCAGTGGAGCCTCTACACTGGCCTCGCACCTTGTCCCCTCCAGGCATGTCTTTATGGCAGAGACCCCACTGCCCTCCTCCCCGCCTTGCCTGAGACCCCTGCCTCAGGGACTGCCCCTGGGAGCCAGATCCAAGGGCCTCTGGGGTCCAGTGCTGCTCTGCTCCCTTCCTGGCCTCAGTGTTCTCCATCTGTGAAATGAAGAGATACATCAAATGTCCTTCCTGCGTATTCCCTAAACCACGGAGCTGCCGGGCATCACAGATCACCAGGGGAGCTGGAGTGGAGGGCAGTGGCCTGAGGCCTGTGCTCACATCTTGAGAAGTCAAGGAACCCAGTCCAGCAAGAGGGTGTGGGTGGGTGGCTGGCTCCACTCAGGGGTAGGAGAGGAAGGAGGAGGGCCCAGAGGGGTCACACGGCCCTGGCAGGGGGTGGGATGGGGGTGGGGTGAACCACCAATCACAGGAGTGGGCCGGCCCGGCCATGGGCCACCCTGCTGCCTGGAGAGCAGTAGATACACACGGCGCAGGGCTGACCCTCAGTTTTCTTGGGGGTGGGGGTTCAGCTGGCCCCGGAGCTCAGGAAGTTTCCAGTGTTTCTGGGCTGCTGGCATCTTCCTTGACTCCTTGCTCCAGTGGGCGGGCACTAAGGGCCACCCCTAAAACTGTTCTGTAAAACTCTCTCCTGCTGCTCAGCCCCTCCTCCCAGATGAGCAGAGCCAGGTCCCTGCCCTCTGGGCTTCCCAGCGAGAATTCCAAAACGGACTTGGAAGATGAGGGGGGAGGGGCAGGGTCCGGGAGGGGCGACGCAAAGCAAACCCAGCAGCCATTGGCCCAGATTCCCCTCCTGGTGAAGACAGCACACCTCACTTCCGTGTTTGAAGCCCACATAAAAAGACAAAGTTTTCAGAAAATCTAGGAGCAGCGGGGTCTGGACTCTATATATTCTCGTAGGTCTACTGTCCCCTCTGCCCCTGCAAACATCCAGACGGGGCTACAAATCCAAATGAGTAGTCTCTGCGACAGTGTCCCCCTGCGACTTGGTTCCTTGCCTAATTCTGCTCTCGTTTGAATAGGTAATAGATTTACGTGGCTCAAATTCAAAGCATTCCGAGGGTCCCCAAAGAGAAGCCCCTCCTGCCTGCAGCTTCCCTCACAAGGTAACCCCTCAAATCCCTCCAGAGATTTATGCACATAGAAATATGTAGAACACTCCGCCCTCCCCTAACGTTTTTTTTCCACAAATGGTAGCATATTCGACACTAGTTTGCACTTTGCTTTTTTTTTTTAACTTAAAAGTCTGTTAGAGCCTTCCAGTATTTCTCCAGAAGAAAAGCCGACTCCTCGGGGAGCGGGTCTCCCCTTTTGCTTTGATATTTCAGAGATCACATTCTTGATGATAAAATAAGCCCACTTCCTTGTTCAGAGAGACCTGAAAAGACTCTTTGGGTTTCATTCCTTTCGACTTTTCTTTAAATCCTGGTGAACAACTAGACTTCAACTCCAGGATCTGGTCAGGAGGGGAAGGGGCAGGGGCAGGGGCAGACACTGGACTGCTTCCAGTGAGCACGTGGCTTCAGGCGTGAATTCGTACATGTTAGACATTTAAGCCCCATGGTGTCACACCAATAGTGTATTTAGCAGACCAGCATGCAGCAAGTATCGGTGCAGAAACAGACATTTTTCAGGATAGGCTGTGAATTCACAGAGACTTCACAGATACCATACAGAGCATGACTCCATACATGCAGAGAAGAGAAGATGCGGGGCGGGGGAGGAAACAAGCAAACAGAGAACACGTTGCCCTGTACCAAGGGACGAATCCAAGATGCCCCAAACTCTACAGAGAAAACTAACACCCTGAGGGTCATCAGAGAAGCATGTAAATGGGGAGACCCACGCACATTCACGGATGGGAGGCAGTACTGTAACGTTGTCACTTCTCCCCGGTCTGCTTTATGATTCAACACAGTCCCAA